TACCATATCTAACAGATGCAATTTCTAACGTTTTCTTTAAAGAAGGATATTTCAATAGAAATCCCGAATTGATTTTACCCGTTATATTGTTTCACTTTGGAATCATGTCAAAAGACTTAAATCCGTCTAAAATCTATGATAAATTATTACCTGAATTAGTTAAAAAGGAAAATATTAAAGAATTTTTATTTGAAAAAATTTCATCAATGTGTCATCCTTACTATAAATCAAGAGCATTATATCAATTAGCTGAATTTTATGATGAAAAAAGTTATGAACTTTTAAATGAATCTTTTACATTAACAAAAAGTATTCAAGAACCAATTTTAAAGTTTCAAGTTTTAGAAAAGATTTTTGACATTGTTCACTATAAGGAAGTGAAACATAAATTATTCATTCAGCTAATAGTCGATGAGTTAGTTTTAACTTTTGACAATATCAAGAATCTTTATGATCGAATTATTGCATCGATAAGATTATCATTCTATGGTTCGGGAGAATTTCGAAAAAGGTATCTAACAATTGCTATCGAAACACTTATTAAAATGAATGAAGATGATGATAAAATCAAATTAATTATTAAATTAAAATCATTAATTAATATTTATGATGACCTTCGCATCAACTTGAATGAAATTATTGATAGTCTTAAAAATAAAACACATTATTATTTTGTCAATTCTTATTATGGAAGAATATTATTCAATGAAAAATTACATACTGAAAAGTTAGAAAATGATCATGGTAAAATGGAAATTGAAGTTGATTCCAAGTACATTGATCTTCAAGCTCTATTCTTACTCTTCGGACAGTTAAATGACACCAAGTTAGTAACTAATATGATAGAGAGCTTAGACCAATTATGGATTAATCTTTTCCAAGATACTAACAATCAGTCAAATATTGAAAAGATATTAAAAATTGGTTTAAATACTGAATTGTTTTTGACACCACAAGCAGCAATTGTTATCGATGAATTAGTACGAAAAGGCAAAGAAGATATAATTTCAATTCTTTTTCCATATATTATAAAACCATCAAATGAAGTATTACCAACTGTTCAGAGATGGTTTACTGATTATGATAATAATCAAACTAAAAAATTAGCAGCTCTTTTACTTGCAGAAGCAAAGCATGTTTTTGAACCAGCAATTGATATAATTATTGATTTACTAAATAGTGATAATGATCAAATGAGATATAGAGCTCAACGAATTTTTCAACATCCAGAACGAGATGTTAAAGAACCGAGTAAGAGAATATCTGTAATAGGAGAAAAAACATTGATAAAAATTCTACAAAGTATGTCGACAAAAGAATATGTTCCAAGAGTTCGAATTTATCTGAGTAGTTTCTTCTACGACTTACTTTGGGATGATCCTAAAGTATTTCAGAACTTACACGAAACTATAACAAAGCTAAAAGAGAGTAACTCTACTAGTGGACAAAGCATATTTTATTTTAATAAGATAAAGTTTATAAATAATAATATTTGGAATTCAATAATGCGATCATTACAATCACCGTCATATCCATCATATGTGGAAGAACTATTTCACTCAACAATAGTATTAACACAGAATGCTCAAATTACAGCAGATAATTGGATCGACTTTGCAAGAGTACTGGCCGTTACAGATACAAGCCAATTTAAAGAAAAATTGTATTTTACAGGTCAAGATGTAGACATAATGGATTTTATTCTTGATAAAGTTTGTGAATTAACAAACATTAATGATGAAACATATTTTGAAATTCTTGAATCAAAAGTAATTAGTGAAATAAGTGTGAGAGTCGAAGATCTTTCACAAAATAATTATGGCCAAATAAGCTATATAGGTCGTTGTAACTTTTATGTCTCAACAAATTTAAATGAAAGAACATTAAATATGCTAAATAATATTTCAATAAACATTGTCATAATGGAAAATTTAATCAAATGGTTGATACAAAAAATGGCAAGTTTTAAAAGTTTTGATAATACAATGTTTTCTTTGATGATAAGTGATTGTTTATTATCCCTGGTTTCTGCATGTGTTCAAAAAGAAGATTATTTGTACCGAAAAATAACAAACTCTCCAAATTTTAATAAAAATCATATGATCAAACTTTTGGAAAACATGTTGAATAATCATCCATATTTTCCTGCAAGAGGTAACGCTTTCATATTACTTTCAGCAATGGATCAGTCTGATCATAAAGTAATCATAAATGCAATGAATACATTACTGGATGAAAATCTTGTGAAAGAATATTCTATAATTGGTATTCCTCTTATACATTTATCACCAAATGAATTTATTGATGATTTATTAGAATCTTTAAAAACTGAAAGTGCTATAAAAGCTTATGAAATATTAAAAATTTTCACACAGTTTGCGTTAAATGAAAAAATAGATGTAAATAGTAAATCAAAAATAATAAATTATTTAGTGGAAGAAATTGGAGAATTAAAATCAAAGAAACCTGTTAGTTATTATTATACAGATGTAAAAATTCCATTTACAACAACATTGGAAAATGAATTATATAAATCATGCATAAAAATACAAGGACTCTCTGGTAAAACACAATACTCTATTACTATTGACGAATTAAAAGAATAATATTATTCAACTTCACATAATGGTCTATTTTCAAAAAAGGATATTATTATTTTTTTATCGATTTTCTTTCTTCCTATAAACATTTATTCTTCATTGTAATTCCAGTTAATGATGATAACTATATCGCAAAGTTTAATAAAACATAAGTGTATTCAGTACATTTATTAAGTAAAATGGCATTTACATGTTTTAATTTTACCTTAATAACCTCGCAGGCCAGCGCTGGGCAACTCCAACTCCAGAGTTGAGGATTTTTTGGTTGAGTTGGAGTTTTTTGAATTTTTATTCTCAACTCCGTTTTACATTTTTAGAAATATTCAATAGTTGTAAACTGAATAGCTAAACGACTGAGTGGCTGTATTCTCGAGTGAATTCGGAAGTTCTTTGCGCTTTCCTGTCGGAAAAAGCTTAAAAAAGTTCAGAATCCTGCTAAATATCAGAAAATCTTCCTTACGAAAGTGAAGCAACCGGAGTTGGACAGGAGTTTAGATTTTTGTTCAGAGAGAGTTGGAGTTGGAATTGAAAAATTTTAGGTGGAGTTGGAGTTGAAAGTCAGCGGAGTTGTCCAGCTCTGTCGTACACTCATATCAGTACAGAGGGTGAGGGTGAGAGTGAGAGTGGCGCAACCATAATGTTAACATTTCACCTGTGCAACCAGGATCATCAGATGGTCTGGTTTCAATTTTAATATTGGAATGATACAGGATTCAGGGGAGGATTGCATATTGTAAGCCAAATGTTTATTGACAAGAAATAATAATTGTTCACTTTGTTAAGTAAGAATGAAAAATTGATTTGGCGATTTAAATCAATGATCGTTAAAATATTTACTTTATTGGACGTATAATTGAATAGGAGTTATTTTGTTTGAAGTAGAAAGTATAAGTAAGTGAATGATTTATAAGATAGCTATTATCTAGAGAGTATATAATATGTTAATATATTTAATGAAAAACTTGATGTTATCGTGCTATATTTTCTTTGTTTGACGATGAAGAGAATAGAAAACAAACAGAAAATACAAATAACTGAAATGTAGTTTTTATGTTTGTTTTTTGGAAATAGAAGATGAATCAGCAGCTACTTCGTAACTCGATCTTGCCTTGTACAGGTGAACCTTCGTCTATGTCTCCGTCAAGAAATATAGGCATGAGTATTGGACGACTGGTGTGTAGGCTGATGTTCAAGATATTATCAGAGAATAGTTGGATCTGACGAGAGAAGAAGTTCATTCGAGTAAGTACCAAGGAGCATGATTTCATCATGATTTTGGAGATTCTTCCCCTCTTAGCCTCTACTCACGCCTCGGATCTCATCCCTGTTCCTGGCACAGACAGGCCTCGCGCTATCATACAGCTTGTATTTCATGAACCATGTGTACAAGCGATGCAAGGAGCGGCCAGGCACTTGCACATATTGATAATAAGTAGAAAAATGTTGTGCCATGGCAGGCTGATTAGAATGGACCAGGAGAATTGCATTGATAATTTCGACACTGCGCAGTATTGGTGTGTTTTCTTCTTCGTTGAAGAGATCTGCGAACAGGGATCCGGTGAGTTCACCGTCATTCGATGGTCACACTCCAGTACATAGGTCCTCGCTTTTGAAGTTCGTTGCCGCTTCGACTCTCCACAACTTTTGATAGAGCAGAAGAAGAAAGAAAGAGAGGATGTGCATGTATGAAAGATCGAAGAAAAAAAGATTATAAGTGCGCCTTTAGAGATAAGCTGAGATACTTTCATGATCAATGGCGAAAAGCTGATTTCGAGACTCCAAAATAATCTCTTGTGAAATCACAAATCGTTATCAAAACTATTAAGTCAAATTTATTCAATAAGAACTTCTTTGAAATCAATCAAGTTGTTTTTTAACTCGAAATTGTTCTCAAAATCTGAAATGCTTTTTTTAAAAGCGGAAAAGTTTCTGAAATCAAAAGGTGATGTTTAGAATCCAAAAAAATCATGAAATCAGCTTTTCTACCCTTGATCACGAAGTTACTTCTCTGTAAAAACGCGAGCAGAATCTTATTTTCTTCGACCCTTCCTTCGTGCATGTCTTCTTCTCTTTCTTTCTTCGTCTGCTTCCTCGAAACCTGTCTACTGTCGAAACAGCAGCGAACTTAGAATGAGCCAGGAGAATTGCATTGATACTTTCGACACTGCGCAGTACTGATGCGTTTTCTTCTTCGTTGAAGAGATCTGCGAACAGGGATCCGGTGAGTTCACCGTCATTCGATGGCCACACTCCAGTGCATAGGTCCTCGCTTTTGAAGTTCGTTGCTGCTTCGACTCTGCACAACAACGCTTTTCCTCCCTTGCTAACCCTTCAGTAGCCGTACATCTTCTTATTTGGGCTTCTCAACATTTCACACTTGCGAGTCTACGTCAATAGCCGGCCACTCCTTTACAGCTATGCGTGCAGACTCCATACGTGTTTTGCTGGATATTCTCGACTTTTTTCAGGGTCTTATACCAGCAAGGACAGCCTGGGGATGTATCCATTAAATATTCCGGAGGAGTTCAACCGGAGGAAACATAATTCGAACCGATGTTAGTATTACCAGCTGTGTCTTGATAATAGGTACCGGTTGTGACTGTGTTGTCCAGAATGCCGCTGAGATAAAGAGACTTTCTATTGTTTGGATAATCATAGGTGAAAGCAACGTGATTACATCCATTTACAAATGTCGTGACCATGACTTTTTTATCTGTTATGCGCCTATATCGATGAAACTATGCCACCTCATTACACCTTATTACATCTGGGCGTGTTCTCATATCGATAAGATCAATCTGTAAACGTGTCATTACACCTAAAGAAACAATTGGTTTGCTAACTACATGTTGTTGCTTAACTGGTTTTCGAATCTGACAAGCAATGCAACGTTTTAAAAACAAATCAACAGCAACACGTGGTACCCACGAATAATGTGTTTGAATTTCACCGAATGTTTTGTCACGTCCTCCATGAGAAACAGCTATATGACATTCACTAATAACTGTAAAAAATGCTTCATAAACGCAAACAGATTTCTTACTTTTTGCACAAGATACTGTCTCTATTCCGGCGGTTCTAACCAAAACAAAATTATTTCGAGCCCAAAAAATAAACGATAAATCGGATTTCTTACCTCTTTCTAATAATAATGCTTTTGAAATATCGTCACAAGTCTGCTTTGTTATTACAAATTTCTCATGATATTTACTATTTAATGAATTAATATGTTTTTCGAGTTCTTCGTAGAAAGGTTTTTCCAAATCAATATTGGCTTGGAGAGTGGTTACTGAAGAAGATGACATGATTTTAGTTTATTATCCTTATTATAAGTGAAATGAATTTTATCAAACAACCCACACTATTTATACATCTCGCTCTGGATTGCAAAATATTATACAGAAGAAAGCAAAAAGAAGAAACTTGACACCTCACAATGGATTTCACAGCACATAAACGATAGTGCACAATGGATTTTACAGATATAAAGACAGTTTATGACTTGTTACTCTCGGATGACCTAGACAAGTTCTTTGTTGAACTTTTGTCATTACCCTGTCATTTTATTAACATCATGGACTAAAATAAAATTGATTCACTGTTACTGTTCTATTTCTTTTCTCGTCTTATACATACATACACCACTAATATGCACAGTACACTGGATAGCAACAAAGAAAAATAAATGTAATATGCATAAGAGCATAAGTATCTGATTTTACTTGAAAAACAACCAAACTTGTAAATAATATAAATAATAGCTTTGATTATGATGTTGAATGAAAGGATTTGAATTATGACTACAACACATATATAAAAGTGATACGAAAAATTAAATAAGTTAAATGATAACTTTAAAGTGCACAACAATTGAAAGAGAGAGTTAAAAGATATGAATAAAACTACTGTGTACTTGCTTGTTTTGAGCTCAGTCTCCGGTTGAACCTGAGATGAATTGCATCATGTTCCCAAAGAGAAAACCGGATAAAACATGATGAAATTAGTCTGAAAGTACACTCTTTAGAGAGAGAATTTTCTTGCTCATAAAATTAGTACTTTTTGGTGCTATCAAGAATTAAAGTTAAAACGGGCGTTGTAACTTCGGAAGTTTCAGAAGTTTTTCCGAACTATTTTAAGATAAAAGTATGAGCTTATACACAAACTATACGTACAAACTGGTCATACAAAATTGCCGCTTTACGTACCACCAAGCAAAATGCAAACAAACGTCATACAATGGTCACTACGTCAGATCTGATCATCAAAAACTTTATACATTAGACATTTTGTGTGAACAATTTCAAAACCCTCATCTAGAAGGTTTTTGGTAAACTCACTCTCACCTTCACGGGCACTCCAGATACATTTGAAAGAAGTGCGATAAGTTCCAAATTGCAATATGTCCTACGAGGTCTGGGAAACATGGCGTAGTCCGGGAAGTGAGATAAATCCCAATCCCTTATTCCACGTCTTACAGTATACCATGGTCTGGGAAGTGAGGAACGTCTTCTTCAAGCACATCGAAAATATGTAATGACTGAAATGAAGAAAATCACAGCTATATATACATCCCAAAAAGCTGCAATTAGAAAAAATCAAGAATCAGGAACTTTCAAAAACTGATGCAGTTAGAAAAAGAAAAATGCTGCAATCACAAAAATCAAGAACCAGGAAGCGGGAACTTCTGAAAAATACTGCAATCAGAAAATCAGGAATCATTGAAAAATGATGCAATCAGAAAAAGAAAAAGAATTCAGTCAGAAAAATCGAGAAAACTCAAAAAGCGAGAATTATTCTATTTTTCTATTAGAATTTTGATATATTGCATCATCTGAGAAAAATGAGAATACGGAATCTTATATATACCACTACATTTTCATCATACAGTGCCACTTTTTTTCGTTATCAATTTTTCGCTAGTCTGTTGAAAAAGAATATTCAAAACGCGTTCATACCAGCCAGTTTTTTGTCACCTTTCTACTTTTCATTTTAAAAATAAAACCATTCAAAAATTAACAAAAACATCTTCAGCTATTCAGTAACATACTTAAGTTACTTCAAGCATTTCAACATACGGCCAGTCTGACCTATTACATACTGTTGGTTACTCCGCATCTGCAATTTCAATCACCACCACCCTCGCCCTCATAAATTCTCGTGAGTACATTTTCCGTTTTCTGTTACTTATTAAACTCTGTCGTCGTCTTTGTATAAAATATATATTCTTCCATTAAAAATCAAAACAAAATCACCAAAAATCATTTACTATTATGATTTATTCAAGCATCGTCTGTTATCTATCCCTTGCGCTTTATTTCACCTCTCGTGCTTCTCTTAGTACACAAAATAACTCAAAAAAGACCAATTTTCAAAAAATTTGGTAACCTTTTCCTCTTCTTTTTGTTGTTTTTTCCGCTTTGCTTCTTTTCTTCATCGATTTATTAATCATTGTCAATCACCCTCACCAAACGTTTAGCAAGAAAGAAAGTATCTTTGGAGTTTACCACACACTGCCAATGTGAAACAAACCTCGTTTGATATGCTTTTACCAGGAGGACTCATGATGCATTATCCCCATATACAAGATTTTCTCAATAGGACAGACGTAAAATTACTATCTGACATTTAAATGAAATGAGTCGCAGATTTAAACGTATGTGCTAAAACTGGAAAAAATGGAGAGTTTTTAACATTTTTCTCTATACAAAATGAAACCTTTTTCAATGCTCAATGTCCAAAAAGTAATTGAGATCAAATAAAAGTGGACAAATCTGGGCTAGTAAAGAGCTTTTAACCTTTTGTGTATGGATTTGATGAACGGCCCCTTTCTGGAATAATACCGAACCCAGCGTTCAATACTTTCAGCAACAATGAGGTATGAAGAGCGCAAATACTAGCCACTGATGAAACGATCATATAGCGTGAACATGAGCTTCGTCTGAATGATAGGGATAGGAATATAACAACGTTAAATACATTTCCTATCACGCCAAATGTGTAGATTACACTACTAAAAGAAATTACGAATACTTGCGAAATTGTATTTAAAATGTTTGCTGTTGTCGACGACATTATTTAAGGGTGAAGCGGTGAGGAGATATTTTTTTGATTGAAGTTTCCATTTGTCCTTGTAAACGTATTTATCTAAACTTGGTGAGATTTATTATATTCAAATTCAAACATCATTCAACAGACAAGCGGGGAATTAGTTTTTTTTATCCCGTCCAACAGGAAAGTGAACGTTTTATTTCCACAAGGCGTCATGATTAACTGCATTTTACAAAGAAACCATTGACAGAAAAGAATGAAAAAACTGTTTCTTAGCATCAATTTTTCTAGTACAATGCATTTAATGAATGCATACAATGTATTCATATATGAGATTAAAGCATTGCTTAGAATACGAAATTAAACAGATTCTACTTTATTCTTTATGTCGATAATCGTCCATTCACAGAAAGAAATGTTGTCTTAAAATGATATACATTGTTTTTCATATTCTCATTCTGTATAATTCGATATTTACACTGTAATTGGATAAATGTACATATTAAAAGGTTCTGACTTAAACTAATCTTGATTATTGATATTTGAACAAATTTTACAGATAAAAACCAGAAGTAGTTTGCAATCCAGAAGTGAACAAATAGTATTACCTCTGATTGATACTGTGAGAGAAAAACTTTTCTGAAATCAGAAGATCTTGTCAAATGCTGTTAGTTGGCGTGTTGGATGAAACATTTTTGTC